CTTGAGCTAAGCTATTGCCAATGCTAGGGATTGTATTTCATCAACATAGCTTCTTGGCTCTTCCATTATATTACCAGATGGTTTCTTTGATAATATACAGATCACAATTTATACCTTCTTCCTGAGATGCAGTAATGAAATAATTTCACTAAATTATTTATGGATGCAAATAAGGAGGGTTTCTTCTGTGCCAAAGAGACCTGTGTCCATAGGCTTTATTTTTTTTCAGAATGCAATCTCTGTCCTTCTCTTTAATACCAAAAGATCCATGAAGATGAACAAATTTGTACTGATGTTCCACTCTTGAAGAAGAAGCAGGATATAAATAAAGTGATTGATTGATGTAAGAGTAAAAGACACTTGTCAGTGGGTCAAAGCACTCAGTAGACTGGGGTGGGCAGCTTGTGACTTTCCAGATGCAGGGTTTGAAAAAAGAAACTGTTTTAGACGACAGGTCCCAGAGTCTGTGCATTTGTCATCTAAGAACTATTTCTTATGGGTTCTGCCTTTGGGCCTCAGCTCCCATCAACCCTTGTCAGAATAGCTGGAGAAGAGAGCTGTAGTCTAAAAACATCTGGAGAACCAGAAATCACTCATATCTGCAACAGACTATGGTCCACTTTAAACAAGTAATTTTAAAGATGTAATCAGCATTTATTTAAAACTAGAAGACTGTTTATTATAAGGAGCTAAAGACTGACTGCAATGGAAACTGAATTAAATAGGTCAACTCATATTATGGCTCTTCACTAAAAAGTGTATTGTTGCTGTTATTTAGGTCACCTGATGTAGCATCTGATGAAATGGGGTGCAGTCCAATGTTATTTATTTCATTTGAATTATAGGCCAAATAAAACTTGTCAAGGCCTTCAAAGACCACAGAATGTATTGTTTGTTTGTTTGTTTGTTTGTTTGTTGCTGTTTTTGGCTTTGGCCCACTGACAATTGTCTTTTATGCCATAGTCAGCCCTGAGGAGGAGGAGGAGGACTTGGCTCCTCAGGTGCAGGGAGATCTTGAGGCTGTGACAGAGTCTCATTCTGCCCTCTCAGGTCCCAGCTCTTCCCCCACAGCCCCTGCAGAGATGGCTCAGCCTGCTACCAGCAATGGGGAGACTCCTCCAGGGGACTCTGAAGCCCAGCAGCCTAGCCTTGTGTCAGCATAGGGGTCAGCACTGTGAGACTTAGATCAGCAGCCCATCCCTACCTTCAGCCAGAGGAGAGCTAAAAGGGAGTGTCTGCGATGTTCAAAGAGGCTTGCTGAGAAACGTTCAGCTAACACTTAACAGCTGCAAGCTGTGGTGTTATGATATAAGGCACTTGAGGAATGCTGACTCCTTTGTCAGAAGCTATTGAGTTCCCTTTGAGCAAACGCTGCTGGCTCTGACTTCCTTGTGCTTAGACTATTTTGGACACCAACTCTGGACCGGACTCTTGACTCACCCTGTGACACCTTGACCTTGGACCAAACTGATATCTGTGCATTCCTGGAATCCCTGAACTCGGACTAGCTACTCACTATTCTCTTTGGACAAAGCGGAGGTCTGTAACTTCAGTTTGCTGGTTGTCTGCTCAGCTTGAGCTTGCCTCTATTATCAGCCATTTGGTGTTTGTGTGCTAGCAACTTTCCAGGACATTTTAATCTCATATAAATCAATCAATTGATTGATCACTTAATTTATATCCTGCCCTTCCCCCAAGAGTAGGACATTTTTACAAAATTGTTGGCCTTCATGGACCTTTCATGATTAAAGATAAGGACAACTGAGGTTCCACATTACAAAAATGAAAACAGCCTATGGACACAGCTCTCTTTGGCACAGAAGAAACTTTCTAGGTTTGCATTAATAAATAAACTAATGAAATTAATTAATTGCTCTTTCTCAGGGAAAAGGTATAAATTGTGATCAAAGAAGCCATCTGGTACGGTAATGGAAGAACCAAGAAGGCATGTAGATGTATATAAAAGAGAAAACCCCAGCATTGGCAATAACTCCCTCTCCCAACACAGACATACACAATGGACAAAATGCAAAAAGATCTTACCTCTGGTAGTTTCACAACAGTATCATTTTGGCAATTCTGCAGAATCTATTTCTTCTTGTGGCACTGAATAGTGGTTACTAGAGAACAAAAACAAGGGAAAGCTATTGTTTTGACATCCTGCTTCAGGACTTCCCAAGGCATCTGGCTGGCCACAAGATGCTACTTGATATACCGGTACATAAAAATTTGTCACCTGTAATTATGCATCATGAATCCTGTGAAATGAGTTGCAGTCCAGGGAAGCGTATGACAAATAAAACTTTTTCATCTTCAGGGTTCCAAAAGACTCTTTGTGGTTTAAGCCAGTGCTACTTAAAGTGATAGTCCATGGACTTGTGCCAGTCCCAAGCCATCTGCTGCCTATTCTGGTCTTATATCCTGAAAAAAAGGTAGGCAGCCCCTCCTCGTTCTCTCTGTAGAGAAGTTGCAGGAACTCTTTGGTAGCATAAACAGATCCTGCGAGCAACACGCTATCCACGGAATTACACATGTCTTTGTATTCAACTTGTTTTGAAGGAAAGGCTAAAGTCCAATCAGATTTTAAATAGGGATAGCAGATGAGGGAAAGTGGTATAATCTGCTCTATACATGTACACACATGCACGTGCACACACACACACACACACACAAAATTGGTCTTGGATTGAAAAGCTTCAGCTGGCATCAATGTGGGCTTTTTTTCCTAGAGGAAAGTGGGAGGAAAGTTTTTTAAGCCCATAGCTAGGGAGGGTAGGGTTAAACCTCCCCTTTCCATGCACTGCAGTCCTGATTAAAATTAAGGAAGGGGGCCTGTGCCTAAGATTTTAAAACCCTAAATATGGTTGCTGATCACACCACTGAAACAATGGGTATATCCACACTATGCAATTATAGCCATTTGATCCCACTTTAAACATCATGGCTCTGTTCTACGGAATCATGAGGTTTGTGGTTTGGTAAGATGGTTAGAATTTTCAGCCAGAGCTCCAGTGCTGTCACATGAGAGATTTCTAAGTATCTGAATGAGCTATAAATCCCAGGATTCCATGAGATAGCATCATGGCACTTAAAGGGAGGTCAGACTATTACAATGTGCAGCAAAGATTCCCTCCACATATCTGGTTTGGCCCCAGTAGCCTGAAAGAGTACACACAAAAAGGCAAAGCCAAAGCAGCTAAGGCATTTCTTTTTGCTGCTCAGCTTTGCTATCTGTTTGCTATTCATCATACCCTGTCCAATACTTCATTGCAGCTTCTGAAGAGTTTGAGCTTTGGCTTTTCTCAGCATTCCTGCCTGTTTCTCATCTTTAAGCAGTGTGCAGCAAATTCTCATCGCATTGCTGGGTACATCACTTTTCTTCTTGTTCTCTGATCTGAGGCTCTCTCTGTCATGCCTGGCTGAAGCACAAATGAGGACTGTGACAGCATTTTGGAAACTGAAATGCAAATAAAACAAGGCTGTGGAAAAACAGCCACTTTCAACATATTGAAATGTACTGGAAATTCTTTTTTTCTTTTCAAATATTACTTGATATGGATCCAAATAATGGATCTTTATCTAATGCATGCTGACCTAGGGAACTTTCCCCCTCGCCATTAAGCCATAAATGAAGCTAGCCTTTTCATAGAATCATAGAGTTGGAAGAGACCACAAGGGCCCTCCAAGCCAACTCCCTGCCATGCAGGAAATCCCAATCAAAGCATCCCCGACAGATGACCATTTTATCCCACTGTACATACATTTAAATATACTTTGTGTGTATTTTTCAAAAGTGCATATTTTTCTGTACATGGACCCCCAGAGAAAAGTATGGTTGGGAATCATATGGTCCTTCAGATGCTGTCATCCTGTCACTCCCAACAGCTATTCCCAGCACAGCCAAAGGTGAGGAAATGATGGTGAGAAGTTTGAACAACACATGACAGCTTCTTCCTGTGCAAAACGAAATTTGCTTTTGGCTGGGTCTGGACCAGAGTTATGCATTTTGAATTTGCTGTCCTCTTTATACCCTTACAAATATTACAGTAAAATAATCAAATATTACAGTAAAATAATTTCCATATAGAGCTTTGAACGTGTTTGAATATAACATTCCAACTAAACGCTGCTAAATCAGGTTATAGTAATTAGAGCATTGCGGGAAATTCTAGAATTTCCAGTCCTCAGATAACCCACATCACTACTTTACTGTTTTGTCTATCCCCAATGTGCACCTAAAATACAAGGAAGCAATGCAACTGACATGTAGTTGCAAAGATGTACCAGGTGGCTCCAGTTCCCTTCCAAGTATACACTTGGTAGGATAATTAGATGTTTTGAAGGGGGGTTACCATGTAATGTTTTAGGGACTATGTTGCCTCTAGATATTGTTGGACCTCATCCTCTATCATCATTTATACGTGTTGATGGAAGATGTACTCCAAAAATATCTAGAAGGCCATAGGCTCCCCATTCCTGCATATGTAATATGTATGAACATATTGATTTTATAATACCAAGCTTCTATGTACATTTTCTATACATATACAAGACAAAACCTAACATACAAACTTGGGGATAAGCCAGCATGATGTGGTGGTTTAACCATTGAACCAGAATCCCCACTTGGCCATGGAAACCCACTTGGTGGCTTTAGACAAGTTACACTCTTTCAGCCTCAGAAGATGTCTCACTCCCTCTGAATAAATCTTTCCAAGAAAACCCTGTGATAGAGTCACCTTAAAGTCACCATAAATGTGAAGCTACTTGAAGGCACACAGCAACACACAACAAGAACAGTAGCAATGTTATGATACCAATCCTGCTTTTTTCCCAGTCCAGGGAATCATGGTGGCTTACTAAAATTAAACAGATACAAATAAACATTTATATCACTAAAACATTGGTGTTGTGTTTTACTGACTTATGGCAACCCAAAGATGAACTTAGCACTGGATTTTCTTGGCAAGATTTGTCCAAGGTCACCCAATGAGTTTCCATGGCCAAGCAGGGATTCAAACCCTGGTCTCCAGAGTCACAGTCCAATGTTCAAACCACTACACCACATTGGGTCGATAAAACATACAAAATTTAAAATATAATAAACTATCAATAGAATTAAAAGCAATTTAAAAACATACCCATTTTAAATAGAAAATTACAGACAATGCAGCACATGAATAAATGCCCTTTTCTTATGAACAGATAACTCCCAATGGCCTTTCCCCAAACAGGTCTTTGCTTGCCTCTGAAATGCAACCATCAGTGATGTATTAAAGTCTTTTACTCCAAGTCTCAAGTCAAGTCTCAAGTTTAGTCTCACGTCCTTGCAAGATACTTTTAAGCCGAATCTCAAGTCTGGGAGGCAACGTTAACAGAAAAAAGGAGGTGGAGAGCATTTCTCGCAGGCAAATGTGTTAGGAAATGGGCTTGCAGTGGGTGTTGAGGTCAGCAGTCTGTCCATTCTGCACATTGGAGGAACCTTCTAATGCTTTTTGAAAATGATATGCAGGAGCTCACAGTCAAAGCACCTTCAGCCTCTATTTAAAAATCTCCAAAGAAGGAGGGACTATGGGCCTTTGCAGACTGGTAGAAATAGTGCAAATTGAGTTAGGGAATCATGGGAACTGTATTTTTTTTCTGAGACTTTGAGCCTTCTCTGTCAGAGAGCTCTGGCGCCACAATAAATTACAGTTCCCATGATTCCCTAGCACTGAGTCAGGACAGTTGAGTGTATTCCACTCTCAAAAGCTCTTACTGTCAAGAAGTTCTTCCTAAAGTTGAGGTGGAATCTCTTTTCCTGAAGTTTGCCTCCATTGCTCTGAGTCCTATTTTCTTGAGTTGCAGAAAACATCTTCAGTATGACATCCTTTCAAAAACAGGGCTATCATATCACTTCTTAACCTTCTCTTCTCCAGGCTAAACACACCCATTTCCCTAAATCACTCCTCATGTGGCATGGTTTCCAAACCCTTCACCATTTTGGTCACTCTCCTCTGGACACGCTCCACTTGAAGATGTTTGGAGGAATTTGGGGACAAAACATCATGCAGTTTTATTTTGTGGGAGTGCTGTG